CGCGTCCACTCACGTGTACATGATGCACAATTGCATCTATAAGTGCATTTTGAGTGAGCAGTGTACCTACATATAACGCGGTAAAGTAGCCAAACAGTTATATTTGTGTTCTCGGCTGGGAACGAAATCGATGTTTTCGCAGGCTTTGATTAGTAATCCGTACTAAATGATGACCGCGATAACCCAATCGAAAAGTTTTGAACTTTTTTCGGAAAATCCGAAACGACTTGGACAATTTGTTTTAGAACCATCTACCACCTCCCCCATTCAAGGCCGTATCTAGAAATTTTTTTCAGGAGGGGTCCAAAACATGCATATTGTAATTTTATTGAATTTAGATTTTAACTTTTGATATTTGGTTAGAAATAAGACAAAAAAATTTAAACTTCTTTTATTAAAATTAATATCATATTTTTATATGATATTAAGATATAAAATTAAAAGCAGTCAATGATTAATTGGAGTTTAAGTATCATAATTTTTGACTGAAAATATTTATGTTAGTATTAAAAATAAATAATTATTTTAAACATTCGTCAAATATTGAAGAAATTTCGAGGGAACCAGACACCCTGGACCTCACCCCCAGATACGGCCTTGATCCCATCCATCGGGATTCCATCACAACCGCAACACAGACGTCTTTCAATCGCATAGCAGTTATTCGATACATTAATGTGCGGTCAAATCCGTGACCATGTTTAATCACTTAGCCAAACGTATTGTCATACGATGCGTTTGTTCGGATCGGCCGCGCTGATGTGGTTCAACGCGGTATAATTAATGAATATTCGATGCTGCAACCGATTTAGTCCTGATCCCGCGCCGTTACTTGTGTTATCCGTGTGTTAAAAATTAATTATCGATTCGACATACTTTTCGTACACTTGATATATTATATCCTTCTCACAGTAGTTGCGCCACATCGGTGTTGTAACATCACTGCATTTTATATCATACATATGTATATGTGTACGATTATGAATCCGGAAGACCCGTTTCGTGCATGTCTGTGTTTAAAATTTTTGCGTGGCGTCTAATCACGGAAAATGCAATCCTCTCGGCACTGCGATCCTCACCTGGCACGACAATTCGAGATAGGATACACATATTATTAACTATTGCTATGATAAACTTCTCATTATCACCGGCCAGAATACTGAAAATGATCGTAGGACCGCGTAAGATATGAATCTGCCGAAATGTCGATATTATTATTGTTATACCGTCAGTTTTTTTTTTAATTCAACACAATAGAGAAGTTTAATCTGTCTCGCGGCAATGCGGTCTGTCAAGCGAGATCCTGTGTTTAATGAGTATATGGTTTTACATGTACTAAAAAAAAGAATAATTTGTCACGCGGTCCTTCGAAAACGGCGGCCATCTATGGTACGTAACATTAAATCATGTTGTTTTGCGAGTTTTCCATGACATTTTTCAATTCTGTCAAAAAATGTTAATAATGAATTGTATCTTGTTTTTCTTGTTCCTTCCGGATCGAGTTTAATGTCCTTTCAAGATTTTTTTATTTTAAGAGCTTTCGGCATAACCATTATAACTCAACAATAACAATACATTTCACAATTAATTAATTTAACAAATATTTATAAAGTCAATGAGTGGGATTATTAACAATAGTGTGTATATGACGGAGAGATAAGATAGTAGTGAAGTTAGATAAGAATGAAATATTGTGTTATGTTTATACAATTAAGGAGTAAACAAATTCGGATTTAAACTTATTTTTCCCAATACTTTTGACAGTAAAGCTATTAGAAGAGTGATAATGGATTTTAATTCTTGAAAATATTAATAATATCTGGTGGTTGTTCGGTTGAAGGTCGGTGATGTGTGATCTCGGCGTATGATCGTCTTTGATTGTGGACGTCAAAACTTCAGTGATGAGTGGGCAACGCTGGTCTTGGAACGGAGGGAGGAAAAGATTTTTTTTAGCAGATGTATGTATTTAGAACATCCTTTATATGAAGCTGTATGATACCCGGCGAAATTAGTGCATTTGGCAGAAAGATTGTGGTCTTTAGTACACTCCTTAAACAGATGGTCTCCGCCACACTTAAGGAGCACGGAGGAATATGATAACAGTACAACTTAGTATGACCGAACGATTGACATTTATGACATTGAAGTGATCCACGATTTTTTTTTGTGTGGTATTTTAATTGAGACCATTGCATATAGAAGCGAAGAAATCTTAAAAATGTCGACGTTGTTGTTACTTCATTCGAGTTCTACGACAAATAATAGTAAAGGGAAGTTGTTTTTTTATTGTTTGCGATGCGTTCTACTGAATGGCCTAAATCATTCAATGATATCAACGGTGAGTATAGAATGGTGCAGATTCCTGATAACAGCCCTGAATGGACGGTATTCCGGTGGACAATATGTATGACATTCAAGATCTAAAGTTCGTATATATTCGGTTATTTTATTGTAATTTTTGCACCCATTAGGGCGAATGATTAGGAATGATATCGTGGATTTACAGGAAAAACCATTAGTACCCGTGAGGTTTGATAAATTTGTAACAAATAAAGAGTAATTAGTAATATTTTTAATAAAAATAGGAGGAGCTCTCTAGCTAACAACGTGACCTGGTTGTTGGTATAATTTGTATCCTTTTTTTTTGACCAATAAAGATCCTATAACGGGAGGAAGACTGAATACTTCTGGTAAAGAACGATTATCTTCCGAGAGCACTCCATAACTAATAGGTGTAATGAATACTTTATTTTTCTTTATGCTGCTGAGAAGACGAAGCTGATAGGTTTCGTTTAGACGAGTCTTTACTAGACATATTCGCGTTTTGTTCAAAATAACCGTATTACGTAACAATTTCATCGCCCGTATAACGCGCATGGCGTTCAAAGGATGCGATAACGATAATAAACACCATAGTGTGTGTGTGTGTGTGTGTGTGTGTGTGTGTGCGCGCGCACTACGACGGTCGGCACAGTACTGCCTTCCGAGCTTTCCCCGTGATAAATATTACCCGAACCAAATCAGCAACCGTGCATTTGTTTTTCCTTTAATTGTTCAAATATTTATTATTCTAAAACCGAAATCCACCGCTCTCCGCTTCGAATCAAAGAAACGTCGCGACGCAACGATAAAGAGTTTTATACGAGCGACGCGACGGCGTTGTCCGAACAAACGTTGCTTTAAACGGACGTCGACAACACACGTTCGATTCGGTATGGATGACGTGTTCGCGCCGTTAAACGCAAATCGCGCGCGCCGGTGCGTTTAAACGGGAAAACGTCTACTCCGTTCGGTTCCGCACGCAAACGCGCTCCGACGTATACCGATAACGTACTTTCCACGCGCTCGCGCTGTTCCTCGTGCGCGTTTATTTTTTATTTTTATCCTTTCCGACGCCCTACCGTCGCGAAACCGGACGGAATCCGGCCGACAGGACCGCACGAGACTCATTGTCCGAGACGACGTCCGTCACGGGACGCCGTCGCGGACCGTAAAAGCGTGCGCTTTCATCGCGCGCGGGGCAAATCTATCCGCCGGATCTTCATCGCCGATCAGCGAATGATTTAAGAGCTTCCGAGACGTTATGACGCGCACGAAAACGCGATATCGCAATACCAGCAACCGGCGCGGAACGTTGCCGACGGCGAGTACGTCGTACGCGCGCATTGGTAACGTTACGCCGTTGTCGGCGAATCGAAATTTTTATCGGTCGCGCGCGCGCGAACCCGTCCGACTCCACGTTTTAGTTTTCGTAAAAACCATCCGGTCCGTTCCAAAACATTAAATACACCCCCGACACGCACCGGTATCGTTCCGTTCTCGTGCGACGAGCACAATTAACACGTATTTTTTCGCCGTGCGAACGAATCGCGTAACCGTTGAGAGAACAACACGGAACGACCGCACACGGATGGACGCAATGACTCGATTGCAATTAACGAGCGAAATTAAAGCGAAACGACTTCGTTAAAATTACTGCGTACCCACGCTGTATATTGCGGATCGGATGGTCGTTACCCGACCAACGGCCGAATGAACTGTTTTTAAGAAGAGCAACGTTTTCTTCACGATCGTGTATTCGAGTACGTACCCACCGATGATTTGATGGACAGTTCATTTTTATTCCCTTATATTTTCAATATGATTTTTAATCATTTTTTTAATCAAGTTGACGTTTGAAATTCAACCGGAATATAACTTCAATTTTTTTTGTAAAATTAACGTGAAAAAACTCGCGAGGTACACAAAAAAAATTTTAAAACAATAATCGTCTTGTATCCGAATGTATTTTAATCGCAATATTGACTTAACAATTTCAAGTCTTTTTTTTGTACAGTTCGCGTCCAACCTTGCATTAAAAATGTTATGGTTACACGAGATACGTATTGTTACGAGCATTGGCGTTATTCTTCGAAACAATAATGTGTTATTATTATTCATCCTCGTGTGTCAACACAGTTCGTAAGCGTATTTAGTTCATGTTTTTTTTTTAGTGACTCTTTCATCGGAAAATTTCGAAAAGGCAAACGCCACCTTGACACGGAGAAAATAGAACACCGATTGTGTTACACTTTCGAAGAATCACAATGCGCCCGTTATGATACGCATCCCACGTGCCTCTCACCCCCCCTTACGTCGATAATTTTGATTCGTGTGACGATATTGAGGAATGTGCGCACGCATAACGTTCCGGTGACCCTACGCACTGCACAATGACGGTGACCACCCAAAGCACACGTAATCGCTACACGTAACATCCAGAACCCATTGTCGGCCAAATTAATCGCAACGGGCGGCCTTGCGCGACGGAATAACATCTAAACGAGCGCAAACATTTGTGCCGCCGAAACCGATCGAAACCGGTCGATCGTCGGGAGACGATTTTTTTTTATTTCCCAGCTCTCCTAATTTTGCACGGATCCCGAAAGTTGCGTTTCGTCGCGCACCAGTACGCGTCGTTCGCACGCGTGATTTCCACCCGAACGTTTCTCATGTTCCAGGTACCGGCACGCTGTCGTTCGACGACTTCTGCACGTTGGCGGCGAAGTTCATGACCGAAGAGGAAGAGGATTCGGAAGCGATCAAAACCGAACTCAGAGAAGCGTTCAGGCTCTACGACAAAGAAGGTAGTGCACGCGAAACGGAAAAGAAAAATTACGCGCCGCATGATTATCAGAACGCGTATGAATCTCCCGAATCCTTTTTCGTTTTTGTTCCGCAGGAAACGGTTACATAACGACCGAAGTGTTAAGAGAAATACTGTCCGAGCTCGACAATAACATGTCCTACGAGGAACTGGACCAGATGATCGACGAGATCGACGCCGACGGATCCGGCACCGTAGACTTTGACGGTAAGCCGACGCGTGCTCCTCCCCCGGGATCGGGTTGTAATGTTCGTCGGGGATTTTGTGGATTTTTGTGTGACGTTCGCGCACCGGCCAAGACTAACGCGATAGCAGATAAAGCATTTCGCGCAAACATTGATCATAAAACTAGTGTTTGAATGAAAGTTTTTGTGTCCGACGGACGGAACGCGAACACGTAACAATAACGTACGTGACTGGCGGGCGGTAAAAGGTCGGTTTTGGCCGAAAAGTGAAATACCGTGAACACCTGTTTGTTGCGCAAAATGATGTTTTTTTAAGTGATCAGGATTTCACGTGACTCGCATGAACTCAGAAAACACGGAAACATACACGTTCGTGACATCTTAGGAAACGTTCAGAATCGTTTACAATTTAATACAAACCGCCGACGACGGCAATCACTGATCACGGTTGTTCCGATCGGTAAACCAGCGTTGTCGGCCTGTGGGATCCGCGTCACGATAGAAATACAATATCGTTTTTCGAAACGTCCGAGTGGTGATCCAACGACGACGACGCGAAAGATTGATTAACAACAATGATAAATAGGGCTCGGAAGTTGATGCTCTTTTTTTTTTGGAAACTTTTTAGACGATGCTCTCTTAGCCACAAATGTGTTTTATTAGCATGTGAATTTGAATAACTATATTTTATTTATTTATTTATTTTTTTTTTTTTTGCATTTTTTGGTGTTAATTAATTTTAAGTAATTTTTTGACATTTGTATGTAGTTTTCCCACGTTCTTAGTCATTTTTGCTTATTTCAACCTAGTTCACTCCATATCGTTTCTTGTCGACCATTATGTCAATAACTTAAGACTTGTCCGATTCTATCTCGCCGATTACATTCGTCATTGTCGTGTTGTAATAAATAATACCTATTGTATCTAAATTTTATTATTTTTTTGTAAAATTTGAAAATTAAAACGCCGGTTAGGTGAGAAGTTTTTCCAAGTGTAAATATTTATAAACAGATAATCATCGTTCATTTACTTTTGATAACATCAAATACGCTCTAATTGTACTATAAAATGATTTTGATTTTTGCGCAGTTTGTAAGCTTTGATAAATGTGTAATACAAATATTTGTAATTTTTAAACATCATATTTTATGGATATTTGTGGTTATTTTTATGTCATATTTTTAGTAATTTATAAGTTTTGATAAATTTATACAGAATGTTATAGTAAAGTATTTAAAAAAAAAATGCATTTAATTTAATTAAAAACAAATATTGATCATTTTTTTAAGGACAGTTTATGTCATTTTTATGCCATATTTCCATATTATTTAGGTCATTTTTAATGTTTTAAGGTCATCAACTTCCGAGCCTCAATGATAACACTATCATACTATTTATTATAATCGTATAGATAAACCATAATCAGTAACTGGTAGTTGAGTAATTTATGATGGCGGGGGAGAGGGAAACAAAAACTGTATCTATTGCAACGTAATTCATTCAATACTGATGCGCCTATCGTCCTGTGTTATAATATTGTGTACGAGCCCCACCACAATCATTAGGCGTACTCAGACCTGTACTTACTTCAAGGGGCGCCTTCAATAATTTTGGGCCTTAGGGCAAAATGTGTAGGTACATAATGTATCAGCAATTAATAAACTATAACATAACTTATAATAATCATAATTATAAGCTTATGATAAACATAACTCTACATTTTTATTTAACATTACAGTAAATTGGTCCTAATAAAAGTGTTTTCATCGAATTTCGTGTATTTTTTTCGGACAGTTTCAACTGTTAATGATTTGCACTTTTGTATTCAACCGCAGTCGTTATACTATCGTAATGGGTTTCCGAACGATAGTTTAGAACATTTTGTTTTAATTTTTTTATTAAGAAAAATCATTATTTTCGTAACGAATATTTTAGAATAAATCGCAATTCAATTTGAGCAACATCAGTTAAAATACGGGTCCTTTACTCTTAGACTCAAACCTTAGGCACCCATTTATTTCACTTTGGAGGGTGCCCGGGCACACCCGGTGCGCCCTTGACCGCGCAACGTTTGTTTTCGCTGCGTCGTTTCAATGTAATTTTATTATTACCGTTAGCGGTCGAGTCTGGGGACATTGTATTACTGTAGCGGTTGTGAAATTATTGTAAGTTTTTGGCTCGGGGCGACGCGCGTCTTGTCTGCGTGGTCCACGCGAAACGGTAATAACAGTAACCTTGCTCACTTAAAATCCCATCCCACGGGGCGAAACAAAGGCTTAAAACGTTGTTGGGTAACCCGATCGTGGCCGAATCGTTGTTGACTGAAAGTTTACTGAAATCAACAACCTTACACGCATTCGTAAACCCGTTTACTCATTTCAATTGTTTTCTACACTGTCGAACTTCAATCAAACGAATTTCTATTTGACAAAATCCCTTAAATATGATGATTTTTTTTTTTTTGTAAAAACTAAAAATTCAAATAATCAAACAAAAAAAAAATTAATTTCAAATATTATTTTAGAATAAATTTCGAATCATTTGCAATTTATGAAGTACAACTGCACTCGTAATAATATTGTGTAAAACAATACGTATGATTAATATGTAATATACCAATACATTATTATGTAGTATGCATAGATTTCGTACAGTAAAATGTTTTTCAATTGAAAACAAATTGTACTTCTTCTAAACGAATCAACAAACCATCATCAAGTCCGTAGATAAAATATAGAGGTTCAGCTGTGACTAGATGTAGGAATGGAGAAAGAAAATAAATAATACAGTGCTTTTTTACGTTTCAAACGTACAGGTGCCAACGAGGTGGTATCGTAGTGTTGTTTAGTATAAGACTTCCAACTGATCCCAGTCGATGGAACTAGTGGAGTCGACAGTGACCGGCATCGTAATAATAAATGTTTAATACAATTTCCCGAGAACGAAAATAAACGCAATAAGAGTTTGCAAAAGAACTTGTCTCGCACGAATAAAGTCCGTTGATCGACTGACGATGGTAAAATATAAAACATATACTCGTATATACCATAAATGTAATATTATTGACGTAGCTTCGGAAACGATCAGCAAATATTATTACTATCGCAGATTTCTCGTCCATTTGTACGACTCGTTTTTACAACTCATTATAGGTATTTATTGTTCATCGTAGAATCACTTTATCCCGCACACGATAGTCGTAATAAAATACTATATCGCTGCTACTCGTGTAAAGTCTAATCCCGATTCCCGTCTCTCGGATTTCTGACTGCGTTTCGTTTCATCTCGTTTGAACGCGACGTACTGCTGTTGTGTTCCCTCTTAAAATTGTTCGTTCTCCACACCCACCACCACCACCACCACCACCACCCTCAACCCTACAAACTTAAACGATAGAAACGCGAAACGTTATTTCGAGCGATGTTCGGATGGCTAACGTTGCGATCACTTCGGATTGTTCGGCGTTAAACATTCAGAGACGTCGCAACACGAATGTTTGCTATCGATGATATTATCACGCGAGTGATACGGTAGAAAACCGCGTTCACGCAAAACGATCGTCTCGTTTACAGTATTACTGTTTTTGCCGCGTGTACGACGTTTGTAGAACCTCCAAAAAGCGTGGTTTTCCAGAACGTTTCATTGGCGAGTTCATATTTTCGTTCCTATACGCGTGTCCGATTCGCGAGTCGCTCAACATTGAGTTTCAAAAGTCTTCTCGTCCCGGCTCCACCGTGGTTTAATAAAATAACGGTAATCCCTGAAACCGTACGGTACGCGTTCTGAAAACGCGTTATTTTTCGATGGGATCAATTTTTTTTTCTTCCGTTTAAAATACGACGCGTGCCCGAATATGTTATGTTCACAATTGTATGATTTATACATCGTTAATTTAAAGGCGGACTCATTGCTATAAATTAGTTTAAACACTTTATAGCGCTTTATTTGCCGCCACGGTTCAAACCGAGCGTACGTGCAGGTTCGTACATTTTAACGTCGTTTATATTCATATAACATTGGAAAATTGTCAAATATTATAATGTAATTGGTTTTTTACCTTTAACGCTTTAATGCACTGTCATCACTAAGAATAATAAATTTAAATTTATCTTAACTTGTTGTCAACGTGAACTATACTGTACAATTTGCCAAAGTTCTAGTCCTTTTTTTATTTACGTAACGTGTTTTTATTGATCATACATTTTCTGTGTGAAATATGTTGAATATATTGGCATTCTTTTGTAATATGCAAATATACAAGTTGACAAACTATTATTAAATCAATAAAAATAAATATATTTAATTCCAAATCACCAGTACATTAGAAACACACTTAAAAGAAATATTTAGTATTTTATAAACAAATTATGGCATAATAAACGATTTAACTAAACTATATGTAGAATAGCTTTTATGTAAATCTGAAGTTCTAATTTACAAAAATAAATAAACGAAAATACTTATAATTCAACATATCATTTAAATTGTATTTTAAATGTACCCACTCAAATCATGAAAAATATATTACGTCATAAAATTTCAATAACAAATGTGAATGAAAACAATCCACTTTGATGTAAAAAATATATTAAAAATAACTTATTATTATAATTATTTAGTATTTATTTTTATGTCAAAGAGTTAATTTGTTTAAAAATCACATTTCAAACTAAAAAGTATTAAGATATGTTATTATTATGTATGGTATTAATATTTTGATTTAAAATGTAACAAATATTTTTTTATGAAAAAATGACCAAATCAAAATGTTATTCAAGCGTGCAATCGACGAATGAATGCTAAACAGTATTGCTTCTTACGTTACGAATAGAAAAATGTACAAAGTTCAACGTGATCGATATTATTATAGAATATAATAGAATCAATGCCGTTATTTGTGGAGCGAGTCATCTCTTGTTGTTCTTAATTCGTATGACACCAAAACAAATACTGAACCTGCAGATGATCTGTTAGAACTTATTTAGACAACTAAAGCAACACTACAGTAGCAATAACAACTCTTTGCTGTTTTTTTGCACACAATATTAAAATATTCTGATCTTAATACTAACTGTTGTTTGCAATTTTGTTTTCAGAATTTATGGAGGTTATGACCGGTTAACTGAAATATTGCTGAAAAGGAAAATATACATAACAATCAAACGAACTTTGAACAATATTTGACAATATCTTTATTTATATTTTTTTTTCCAATGCTCAATAATTTAGTACAAACGTTTTACATTTGACACACGCAGTCGCTGTCTGTTTAATGCACTATTAGAATAATCTAACACATGCAATATCAATAAAATATTATGTAATATTTACTTATCTGATTAGTGATTTCGTTTCCATGAACTGTTATTATTGTTTTTTCCTTGTACCAAAAAAAGATTTACCTCATGTACCTACTAAATGCGTATGAGAATACATAAAAAAAAAAAAAATAATAATATACCGTTACACGTTTTCGGATCGAATTTTAATTCACACAAAACTATGGTTATTTCGAAATAAAAACTGCACTACTATAGTCGTGCGAGAGATAATATAATAATCGTTAATGCTCGACAATTATTGTAATAAACGAATAGGAATAATAATAAAAAATTTTGGAGTTGTCACAAAAACTCGAATAATTTGACACGAATTTTTGACGAAATTATGTATACATATATATATATACTCATGGCTCGCGAAAAATGTTGTATTCAAATGGTCATTATAAGAATACAAAGGAAAAACTTAAATTATTCTTTAATATAATAATACCAAAATGATTCAAGGACGGCGTTGATATTAAAAATAGTTTTATTGTCTGAATTAAATGTGTACATAATTTGCATCGTTTATATATGTATAAAATATGTATTATTATATTTATATTGGTAATTTACGGTACTCGTGACATTTTTGAAATTGAAATAATTTTTCAGAAATAGTGCGATTCGCACGTAACGGTAAGATTCGTGTGATGAAATTTATGTAAATATGCATTATGAATATATTATTATAAAATTACATGTGGACAAGCGGTGGCGTGTATTCGAATTGTCATAAATATAATTATATTTTATCATGAACAAAAACAATTTATAAAGATAGAAGAATAATATAATAATACGAGTATATATATACGGGAACGGTTTGATGTGGGGGAGGGGGATAAAATAATTATATTATATAAAACGAAAACATAATTCGTCGGTTTGATTACGCGAACCGTGATGATATAGTGCTCCGATATATATATATATATATATATATATATATATATTTTATTATAGAATTCGAACATCTAGAGTTTTTGAAACGCACTTTTTTTTTTTTAATCCCCTATTGGTTATCCATTTTATAAGTGCTTTGTCGTCTTTCGTGAAAATATCTCCGAAAATGTATTGTACGTGCAACGTCGAAGAGTTGTGTTGAAATAGTGAGAGAATAAAAGAAATAAAATAAAATGAAAAAAAAAAATCAATGACTTGTTGTTGTGCATGGCCGGCGAACCCTTAAAACGCATCGCCGTGGGACGGGTAAATGATTTTCGGACCGCGAAATCGACAAACGTTTTCAATCAGCGCGCGGAAATTGAGTTTGATATAAGGGTGGACTTAAGAGAGGTCCCGATTTGTCACTCCGACGAGCCGAAAAATACCTGCAGTGCAAACACGTCGTTACAACATTTATATAGTGTTTATTTTTTTATTTCGAAATTATCTGATATAAAGTTGAAACCATTTGCTCGTTCAAAGTAGATTCAGCGATATTCAGGAACGGTGATTGTTGACGTTTGACAGTAATTTCGCGCGGAATATTAAAAAATCAAAATCTAAACCCGGAGCCATCGAGTCGGAGTTGAGATCAAGGGTGTGCTAACCACCGATTGCATTCCTCCCCTTCCAAACATTGTTACTGCGGAAGAATCCTTATATTCAGGCGTACAATTCAATTAACTTTCGACGGTTGCATATTACCCGCCCAAAAATTAGATCGGAGAAGTAATAAAAAAATAAATAAACTGACGACCATCATCGTGACGGTCTTTTCACAAAACACGCAAATAATTCCTCGTCGTTACAATTTAAAGCGGTTTCAGATTGTTGAATTTTCCGTTTTAAAAATGTCAGCATGACCTATATTACATACGCAGTATAATAGATTTGTACAAATAACATAACACGTAACGGTCGCTGCTGTTTCAAACCAGTTCTGATTTTTTAACCACATACTTACTATTACATTAACAAAAAATGTGTATCACAATGCAAACGCGTTATGTAACTCTAATACCCATTTGCATTATACATTGTATTATAATAATTGTAGGCAGTACTTGTGTTCCCGATGTTATCTGCTGGTAGATTAATAGTTACTTACAAACAGATGTAATACCTAGAGCACTTTTTTTCTTTCGCGTACTTCGTTTTAACAACGCATGTACCGAACTAGTTATAATTATTATTGTAATTAACGTGAGTAACGCGACAGGTATACTACGTATTGGGTGCCTTTTGACTTGTTTTTATTACAAGTCATTGTTAAAGAGGTCGATAATTGGTTTTTACTAACAATTCAATCATCAACGTTGTTTAATATCGCCTGGGCACTCGCCTTCAGAAATAAAATAGTAACATAATATTTTCAAACTAACTCGAGTTTTTGCCTTTATGCAGAATACACATATTATATTTGGATTTAGCATATCGTAATGAATCTGATTGACACAATTTATTTACAAATAATTATAAACGTCGTAATTATACGACGTTTGCTTCCTTTTTATCATAATAATGTACAACGAAACGAAATCAATGGTAAGACAATACTCTGTAGATTAGCATATGAAAAAGAGAAGCTTAATTATTATTGCCTCATATAATCATACAACACAATGTTATTGTGATATTCTACGTTCCATCACTGTACGTTTTTATTTTCTAAGATTTAAATATTATCTTTCTATTGCTTCGAGAAAAAAACCCATGTTACAATCTTTTTTTTAATTATATTTACTTTTCTTCATTTAAATTATAATATTTCATATTTCATTCACACTTTACCGTTTTCCCTTTTTATCCTCGCTGCAGGTTTGTTTGTTTAATTATAATCTAAATCTATATAACATCATTTAGTATTGCATCGCACTACCGAACATGTTAATTGCTTTAATACTATTTTTATTGTTTAAATCCACACCCATAAATTAAATTTTCTAGTACACTTTTATGTGTTAGGAATATAGAGATTTTTTTTTTTTTAAATTATTATAATTATTAAAATTTTAGTTTATTATATTATGAATGGATTAATTTTATTTTAAATTGCTCTTGCTAACTGAAACAAATGTTATTAATCTGTTAATAATGGAAAAAGTTACATTAAAACGATTTTTTTTCAATTTCATTTGAAGAAAGAAATGAATAAGTATTCCAAATTCTTAACCTTGCTAGTATTAAAACCGTTGCGACATAAAATTACATTTCAGAAAAATTCGTATTCTAAATAAGTGTTTTTATAGTTTTAAATATTGTTTGTATAAAATATAATTAACCTACTCTTCGTATTGTTTGTTATACTCGTATTTTTGATTATTAAATAAATTCGTTTTTATTATTTCACTCGGGTCAGTTTGCGCATCGTATGTGTATTATTATATTCAATTTAGATTTAGTATTTTTTTTTTTTTTTTTTTTTAATTATTAACAATATCTGAATTAATTTTAATGAAAGAAAAAATAATAATAATAATAATAATAACAGCAGTGTACCACAGCATTTCGTGTATTTTCGTCGATTTCAAAATATTATCTTACAAACATGTTGTCCACACAACGAATCCTAATTGTACGAGTAGACGTAATATTTCAAAACGAATTTTGTCTCGTAAACAAACGATTATACATAACTGAAATACATGTAAGTCATCGATATTACTAGATGCGTAAGTTTATATATTGATGTACAAACGGGAGAGTGGTATTCAAGATAAATCCTCCATAAGGACTTAAAAAAATATATCCAGTTTTGAAATGATTGGAACGAAAAATATACACATCATGAATATTTTAACGCGTGTATGAATCGTACTATTTATCAATGATGATATAACATAAAGTTTTCGTCCGAAGAGTTATAAAAATAGATGTTTGATATTGACATAAAACTATATTTATAACAAATCCCCCCCCCCCCCCAATAAGAAAATTTAACGTACGCCATTGTGCACATCATATAAATTATGAAAATTAAAAACGACGGTGAGATGGTTTTGACTATGAACTCGGTGCGATATACAATGTTTTCTGTTATCATTGTTTCGGACCTTTTTAAGGATTAGAAAAACCTCCGAGACTCTCGGGTGGTTTTGGATAAGACTTTAAGCACTCTACACCACTCTCAGTAGCGTTTAACGCCAACGGTTTACGTACCGAATCGGTAAAATAAATTAAATCCGTGTAGATACACACTCACACACACACACACACACACACACACACACACACACACACACACACATACATACACGCACACGCACACTGCAGCGTTGTTTATGCAATAATGCAAGCGCCGTGTATTGACACAGAGCAGATTACTTTTTCATAATGTTTACAGTATCGCACAGTTATTTGTACAAAAATACGATGTAATACCAGAGTTAAAAATTGTATTCCATTATTAACAATAATGAGTTCGACATGAAGAGAGTAGTGTTCGCGGAATTCGGTTTGATTGAAATATCCAATGGCCGCGCGCAAACCTTTACGTAAGCGAATCACTCTATTACCTTCTCATATACCTACATCCTGCAGCAGCTACCTACAACGGTATTCAATTACAGTTGAACGTAATATATTATAATGAAAAACATGGTGAACGTAACTACTTACATATAATATTTTATTGACATAATATGATAATAATTTTATTGCACATAATAATACGAATAATAAAAAAATACGATCTGTGGGTCGAGGTGTTCAGGCTAGCGAGACATTTTCAAAAGGGTGCATTTTCAAGCGTTTATAACGTTTATAATCCACGTGCCAAAAGGGTTTGGGTGAGCCACAAGGGTTGGGTCGCTGATATAGTTGGATTTTTATTTTATTTTAAATTTGAAATCGTTATATGTACCACTGGTTTAGTAAAACGATTCCGAGCGAAAAAAGTTGGGTGGAACATATTTTGTAAATCGTTTTTATTGATCAATATTATTTTTAAGATATTCCTAGCCATAGGCTATATATAT